GTGTTTAGCAAAGATGCGATTGACTTTTATAACATGTAAGTTAACTTCTTTAGGAAACTTAATATAAGTATCAAATTCTTCTATTTTAAAAAAAATAGTTAATAATAATAAAATAATTTTTTTATAATATATTTATATATTTATAATTTTATGTAACTTTTATTGAAAATCTTTACTTAATATATATTTTTACTTTTGAAAATATTGAAACTAATCGATAATTTATTAATTAATACTTTATTGATCAGTACTTTATCAAAAATTTTGGTTAAATATTTGAATTTAAAAATTAATATCAATATTGAAATCAATAAATTAATAATAATATTTACTAATATCAATCAGAACATTATAAATATTATTTTATATTCAATTTGTATTTTTTCAAGTTATCAGCAAATAAAAGAATGGTGAATAATTTATCACTTTAAAAAAAAATAATTTTTATTTATAATATTTATTATTATATAAGATTTAATTTGAATTAATAACAGATTTACTAATATAAATAATAATATTCAATAATTAATTATTTGATTTGATTTTAATACAATAAAAATAAAATTGATTTTAATTTATTTTAAAATAATAATAACAATAACAATATATATAGTAATACCAATATATAATAATATTTCAAAAATTTTTAAAATTAAAATAAGATTTTTAAACAATTATATTAACTTGATTAATTATTAATAATTATAATTATTTATTTATAAATTGTTATTATTTTTTTTTTTAATCTTTTTACTTGCAATAATATTTTTTAGATTTTAAATAAATTTTTTTTTTGTACTAGATTATTGTTAGTTAATTTTACTTAGATAAAAAGATAATTAATATATTGTTTTATAGATATTTTATCTATAAAATCATATATTAATATTAAAAAAAAAAATTAACAAAATTTTATAAATTATTTTTTAGATCTTTAAAAACATACAGTATATTTATATATTGTATTATTTGTTTTCATTAAAAATTATATTTAAAATAATAAATATTAGTATATAATAAATAAATAATTATTTTAAATATATTTAAATAATGAATGAAGCTTATTTTAAATTCTTTAAAACTTGGTGTCTGCTTGGTTCCATTTTTTCAGTAGATACAACTCAATTTGCTCAAAAACCATTGGATGTATTGAGACTGGTGAGGAAGGCGTGAACCTGTTCAAGTGAAATCGGTATATCAACATGGCCATAACATATAAAGCGTCATATAAAAGGGTGGTGAGATACAGTATAATGTAATATGTTGCCCTATTGAGCATAGAGCACTTGTTCAGTAATGTAAAATCCAAAAAAAGTTAACTTACATGTTATAAAAGTCAATCGCATCTTTGCTAAACACAGTTATTCGGATGAGATCGGTGCAAAAGAGGTAAAGTTTGTCGAGATCTTCTTGTACTTTCGCTTCACGTGTCCTTTGCTTAGCCCCAAGATGATTGGTCAACTTCTTTGATAATGTAATCAGGTTGCTTGGCCCTGCCTATTGGCTTTCTAGTCTTGGACCTGTCGCTTCTTTATTTTGACCTGTGACATTTAAATGGACTAGAAGATATGTTGTATACATGGAAATACCAAGCTAAAGAACCTACCATCGCAGAAATACACCGCGACAGGATCCATAAGGAGCAATTCGATAAATGGAACAATGTAAATGGTGCACGGCTCTACCTCTCCAATGGGGCTTTTTAACGTATCTCTTGCACTCTTCAACACTAATAAAGACATGTTAGCATTTAAAATTGTTCTAAAGTTCATTATAATATTACATGTTTCTCATGGTTTTCAAAATTGCATACTCTTCATCAGACAACATACTGCAAGAATCAGCAGTTCCGAAGCTGCAACGTCTCTTGTGATCTCCTCTCGTAGCGGGTGATCTAATAAAAGATAATTCATTGTTCTTTTTTCTCACATTGAATAGGAGTAGAAGCATACATTGACAATGTGGATAAGATTTACCATTATTTCAGCATCAAGCACAGTTTCTTGTTTATGAATCTTTGTATGACATTTTTGCGCATCGTTTCTAATAACTCAGCGCCAGCATTAGTGGAAAATGATGTTTAGGCTTCAATAAAGAATATGTAATAAGGACCTACAGTATAATAAAGTTACAATTAGCTTACATCATAACCCGGAAAAAATTAAAAAAAAATACCTACATCTAACTTCTCGAAAACAGTTTCGTATTACTTTTTCGTTTATGAGAGATGGATTATCACTGTTTTCGACTGAAATTCGCACATCGAACACGAATTTTGAGTTGTGGTTGACGTACCAAGACTACTTTACTCTAAACGAACACTAGTATTCAGAGCAAAAGTTCCCCATATCTCGAGCTGGTCGCTACTATTACACTCAAAGTTCTCAAATATGTATTATGCTCATTGTTTATTGCCTGTCTAATTATCTTTATTTTGTTTATTGCCGGTCCGATTATCTTTCATTTTGTTTATTGCTTGTTCCATTATCTTCATTCTGCCAGAAATTGAGAACGCGTCCAACAAAATAAACGGAGATCGTGACAGACATCAATGTCACGTGTTATTCTGTGCAAAGTGAGCAAGCTTCTCTTGCTATGTAATGGAATTTAGCTCAACCTGATTTTGCGGAAAAAGTTCTTACTCGTTGAATCTAATCACATCTGATATGACGAAAAGAGGACGAATTTTCCGAGCCACTGGCACCGCTCGGATTTATCGGGTCCAAAATTTTGGAAGGTCGCAGTTGTGATTGTTTCCAGATTTCAGCACTCAGAGTCTACTTTTCATAAGAAGAATGATTTTTTCAAGCACGCAAACGAAATAAAAAGTTCGTAGCCTTGCGCTAATTTTGAATTTTAGAAATTTTTTATTGATAATTATTGTTTAAAAGCAATATACAGTACATCATATGATTGAATCGATATACAGTATATACAGTATATGAATTTAACTAGATCAATAATAAAAGTGTGATATCAATCAATCATCAATCAAGCAAGCAATTAATAATATAAAAATAAATAGAACTACTTTTTTTAATCTCATGTCCATTTACACTGTTCTAATTTTTTTTTTTTCAAATCAAAAATAAAAATTTCAATGACAAGGAAAAAAACGGATCTTCCCCTTCCTTTATTTTACTTAAAAAATCTTATTTTGTGTGATATGCTGTGGATAGAATGTAAATGAAGTGCTTATTATACAGTAGATAAAATGTAAATGAAGTGCTTACTATACAGTGGTTGTAATATGCTTTTTACGATACATCTATATCAATTATCTATCATCAAGATGTTTTTCAATTGATATAAAAACGGGTAAAAAAAAAGGGGGGAGTTGTTTTCTTCTCTTAAACAAGTGCTCTCCATCATACAATGTATTTCCATAATATGACACGACATGAGTAATGAATTTGAAATAAGTAGATCGATCTAAATTCAATTGATGATATGAATCCACATATAACGTATAACGTATAGGACATAAGGTTTTGATATATTATTGAGCTTTGCATAATACATCTTTGTGAATAATCCTTCTCACAAGCGGTTCACACACACACACACACATACAAACACGAAATCGCAGTAATTTCAACAACAGAACTGCATTGGGTCATGTGATAAGTGAATTAACCTATCGGATTATATCGGACTTTGTACATGCATGATATTGTCAGTTTAAAGTGGTCGCATTTTACCTCACGATCATTGATCAAATTTATAAAGAGAAAGGGTTTTTGATAGAAAGGGTTATTCGATGCATTATGAAACGAGTAGTTGGTCAGATGACACTAGAATGATGAAGGGAAAACAAAAACGCAGTGTTCAATAAGCATAGTGATTGCCATATTAATTAAAAGGGAACTGATTATCTGTGCAAAACCATTTTTATAAACGAATTCTGAATTATTACGTGGTGTCACTGTAAACAAACAGTAGTTTTTTACCAAACCAGGAAATTTTTTGCGTTCGACAATAGAAATTTCCACAAGTTTATCGAGATTTTGAATGCCCTCACTACTCTGTACAACAAATTGCCTGAGTTCCGACCGCAACGCTTTTTGCGATTCACACGTTACAAGACACATTATTGACTAGTCATGCGCCTACATGTGGCCTTATTTCAAAGTTGTACCCAGCATACGAAAAATTCTTCATTGGATGTATCACAACACGACGAAAAATAGTGATTTTTTTTTTGTCAATGGTATCAATGACACTTTAAACGCATTCAGGACTAAGAAGCCCCTGAACCCTATTTGTCATATATTTAAATTATACGCATATTTTTTCTGCGTCCAACTCAATTAGTTGTTGATCATAAGATTACAGTATATTAGTCAGTGGTTCGTTCATCCTTCCAATTAAGTGCATCTAGTTTAGAAGGATTTTTTTTTTTTTGGTCATGAACATGACGAGAATGATGTGAGGTCATTCGTACCGGTGTTTGATAAATGGTTCGTAGAATTCCAACGTTTTGCTACCTCCGAGTATAAATACGATAGAAACGTTCGTCTCCTCGGTTTATTGATCAACTAAATTAAACTCTGTTTTCAAGCAAGCAAGCAAGTTACATCGCGCAAAAAAATGGAAAGAATTTCTTCGAGTAAAAGATGGAAAAAGGATGTAAGAAGAATAATATAGTTCTCTATCATTTATTTATTTGTTTGTTTTTATTTATTTGTTTTTTTTATTCATTTGAGTTACTTCCTTTAAACCGTGATTCTTTCTATGCAGGATGAGGAAAAACTACGAGAAATCATTAAAAGGGAACGCGCCAACAAGAAGGAAGAAGACCGGATGGATTGGAAGTATATTTCAAAAGAGTTTGGCAACAGTAGGGAGATCAAATCACTACAAGAAAAGTTAGTTTGTGTCATCAAGAGTTTTGTTTTCTGTCACAGCATTTGATAAACCTTTATGTGCTAACCACATTTCATACACAAGGTACAGAAATTTCCTGAAAAAAGAAGGTACGTGTAAACCGCAAAGCGGCAAAATCCATCGAAAAAAAACACCGACTGACCATTTCATCATTCACGCAGTGTGGCTTCCGTATGGAAATGGAAAGAGACAAATCCCTTTTACTAGCAAACACGTCACCTTAATAATGAACGAAACGTGGAAAAACGTCGATAATAAAAATCGTTGGCGTAGAATAGCAAACATCATCAACAAACAATTTCCCTTGCAGGTTGACTGCACGCCCAATCAGGTTAAAAACAAGTATAACACCACGTTCCGAAAGCTTCGTACGTAGGCTATCTAATTTCGCGACATTCTGATACTTATTTGAGATCACTAACCACATGATACTTTTAGGCGCCAATCGAATGAATATTGCCTTTGTGATTAACTAAAGATCAACTCTCGGCGAGTCCTTTTTCTCGCAACGACCGTCACGAAAAAAATTTTTTGATTCTCAAGAAAAATTTCATTGTACGTTGTCTTGATGAAGTCTTGATTTATATTTATCAGATGTATTCATAATTTTTTTACTCAAATAAAATCAATATAGCATTCATTCACTCATTCATTCATTCATAGATAGATACGAGGTTCAATTTCTCATAGATAGATACTGTAGACGCAAGGCTCACATTCTCTCATAGATTGACACATGGTTCACTTATTATTATTTTATTTATTTTTTTTTCATCATGGACACAGACTCTCATGTTTTATTAATGCATAATTTTTAATAAAACGTTTCTCAAAATGATTACATAAATATAACCTAGTACCCTGCATACCCTGCACAACGTAATTTGTCCCTGCATGGGAAGCGGAATTTCTCATCAGAATTCAATAAAGATTCTTCACCATTCGGAATTAATGTTTGGATCCTTTGTTTTCCACAAAGTCGAAACAATAGCGCACGGATTAATTCATCATTTATTGACACCGGATCAACTGTAAACCATGATTAAGGTAAAGCGATCAACACGTTCGTGGTGGAGAAATTAAAGTTGAATGTTGCCTATCAGGAAATATTGAATGTCGGTCTCGACATTAAGCCGCGTGCAAACGTGTATTCGTGATGATATCCTATTCTCACGACATTGATCAGGTGCAAGGATTTTAACAACGAAAAAAAGGATTATCGTGGAAATCTGTTACGCTGAATTATTCCTAAAACGACGGGGCGGAAATTTTTTCCTTTATGAACGGTTCAAAAAAAAAACTTTAAACAAGTTATTTTCCAATTCAAAAAATCGTCTTACAAAAGACGCCAGCGACGCACGTGCAATGTTATCGCCGAGAATCCAAATTCATATGCTGGGTAATGCAAGGGGTTCTATCTCGGTTATCTGGAGAGAAATCAAAAAACAAAAGATTTTCTAATTTGAATGTTTATCAGGTGGTTGGGCTGTATTATGCATGGTTGTGCATCAACCATTCACAAGATGTATTGCCGCTCTCTTCTGGACACAAAATTTAAGATGAACGCTACCTATTTTTATTACTACGTTTAGACGTTTGCAAAGAGAAACCATTCTGGTCCGCATCCGCATTGTTTTACACAATAAACAATGGTGGTCAGGCATTATTAAAATGTTTCAGATTTAAGCCGGGATACACCATGCGTAATTGATATTTGGGAAAGAACCTTCATGGATCTTTCACGCGTGCCATCTTTGGAATGTAATTATTATTATAATGATGACGGGGATAGTATAAATACAGTCAGCATCTGATCAAAAGACGATAAAGGCTAATGAAAAAAAAAAAGAAGATTTATTGCGAGTTATAATATTCCCTCTTTATATACAGTATAACGATTTACAACCTCCTTCTTTTTATTATCATAACTATTGTGCCAAGAACATTCTGTCCTTCCTTTTTATTATCATAACTGTTGTGCCAAGAACATTCCGTCCTTCCTTTTTATTATCATAACTGTTGTGACAAGAACATTCCGTCCTTCCTTTTTGCACATCACGTAAAATGGATATGACTCAAGCCAAAATCGAACAAGTTTCGCGAAGCATAGAGTTATTGCATATACATACAGTGGATGATTTGTGTCAAAAGGATGGCAACGTGGTTAAAGAAACCGTCGAACAAACTACCGAAGCGGATATGACGCGAGCCAATGTTAGAAAAGGTCGATGGAAAAGTGAGGTACGAACAGTGCGATGGACTATAATAAAGTGCAATAATGCTCATTCCACTAATCTGATGATTTGAATGCAAAAGGAGAACAACGAACTTAAAGAGATCGTCGAACTAATGTCGGGAGCCATTTCCTGGAAGATTGTCAGTGAAAAGATGGGAGGGAGACGCACTGCAAAACAATGCAGAGAAAGGTTTTTATATTAATTTCATTTCCTTTCATAAATTTGTTGCCGAATCTGATTCAAATGTGTCATTGTAGGTGGTGCAATCACCTTAGCGGTTCAAGTAAGCCATTATAATTTTGATTACTGTACATTTGCTTCCATCCATCCATCCATCTGAACATAATTCGTACTTATGGTTCACTAGTCAACAATGCCAAACTTACTGAAGAAGAAAAGCAGGAGATCCGTCTGCATCGTAAAAAAGGATATACCTACGCCAAGATATCCGCCAAGTTATCGCGAACACCACTGCAAATCAAGAATTTCTGTTATCCCGGGGAAACTCGACCGAGACCCAAAGCGCGGCGCAATAAAATGGCGATTGAAAGTTTGTTGTCAAGCCAGGGAATCCATGACCATCACGCCAACGATAAGACGGCGATTGGGATGTTGGCAGAACAGAGAACCCACGACGATCACGTCAACGATAAGATGGCGATTGAAGGTTTACTGTCAGACCGGAAAACTGACGATCATCCCTGACCCAATTTATTAATCATCATATATTTAACCCATTTTCTCTTTATTAATAATAGTATTTTATGGTAATTCGCAAGTCTTGATCGATGCCTAATACCTTTCACACAATCGATCCGACTTGTTGATTTATTCACTATTATCTACTTATCTACTTACCTATTTAATTAATTAATTTGTTAGTTTCTTAATACTGTATAACAGTATTTCTATAGACACTGTATCTTCGTGTTAATGCTTCTAAAGAATTCATAATGATAATGATAATGATAATGATAATAAACCAATAAACATGTACTGTATTATAATGTATCTGTTTATATTCTTATGCACAAATTATAAATACTGTATGTGTGCTTTATAATTTTCTAAAAAAAATAAATGTGTGCTTTATAATTTTCTAAAAAAAAAAAAAAAAAAATTATATAAGCGTAAAAAATAGAATAAGAATAATAGTAATCTTTTTTGGTTTTTTTTTTTTTGGTTTTTTTTGGTTTGGTTTTTTTTTTGGTTTTTTTTTGGTTTAACGGGATTCAAGCAATAGGTATAAAAAAAAAAAAAAAAAAAAAATTATTATTAATTTAAGAACCTCTTTTTTTTTTTTTTGTTAACAGATAATAAATAATGTTAACAAATATTTACTTTTTATTTTTGGTACGAGTACACGAAATCGCATTCAAATTATGCTTAGATTATTGATGGGCGGTTAATTGAATTTTCATGAATGGTCATAATCAATTAATTATTTATCGGTTGATTATTAATCATCGATTAAATCTTAGATGCGTGCGTACGAATGTGTAATGGAACACGCGCGTTAGACAAATTTCTTATGGAATTTTTATAATTAGAATTACATATTATTAGAATTATTAAGAATATTACAGTAATTTTCGGCAAATGGTACCCTCCTTGTGAAAATACCCACCACCACTTTTTTTATATTAAATTTTTGCCCGGGAATGTAAGAAATGTAAGAGACCCAGGGTACCGTATGCGACAAATTACGGTATTATTTTTGGCTGATATTATTTCATGATTATCATTAAGAGTTTACACGGCTAAATTTTATCTAAGTAAAAATACAAAAAACTTTTTTCTTCTAGGTGGATTGTTCTTATAATAACGTTCAACGCATTATATCATGATAATGATGACGCCAGATTAGTCCTTCTAATACCACGTTCCTAAAAAAAAAGCATTTTCAAGATGTGATTAGGTACGGTGTTGGACTAATCTTGCGGAATTAAACTACACTAATTTCTTTTTATAAAAGTCCGTGTAAATATCTTGAAAAGGTGACTTTCATGTGATCGGAACGGAACTAAAATGACAGATCCTTTTTTTTTTCGCAAAACCGGCGGTAACTCGATTTCCCGACATTCGCAATCAACGTGCTGAGACATTTATGATCGTTCGTATGTATATTATCAATGTCCGTACGCGTAAACGACAAGGTTTCCCTTTTCCTAATTTAATAACCGCATGATTGACATCTGTTCACTTACGGATGATTCGTGAGAGTTATTGGTATCGCTGCTATCGTTACTACCGTTGCTATGGCGTCTAAATTCATAAAAAAAAAAAACAAAAAAACAAAAAAAAAACAATGAGCAAATAATAATAATAAATAATAATGCAAAGAGGTGTAAATTTTCAGAACAAGAATAACCTTTGACTGATTCCTGTAGCATATGTTTGAAGAAAACTAGATTAGCACGTCATTCGTTCTCTTCAAAGGTGCCAAACACAAGAAGGTAAAGGATAGGTTACCAGTGGTAAAAGGATGCTCAGCACTTCTGATGTTTCTCCTTAACTTTCTCTGGTGGTTGTTCCAATGGTTCCTAATCATGACACCTGTAAACCTTTCTGATACACAGGAGGCAATCAAAGTCCATTGGGGTCCAAATAGCTCGTAAAATGTCAAAATCTGTTTTGATTCTTCTGGCGTTATTCTTCGTCTGTCAACTGAAAGGAATGTTAGTTCATACAAACATGTGTTTGTTGGGTTCACGGCGTTCGTACTACACCTACTCTGAGGATTTTGGTGGTTCTGATAGCTGCACAAAAAGAAAAGTTTCGCATGCGTTGAATATATGTTTGTCTGTTTGTTTGTTTTTCGATTTGAAAATGTAACTCAACGTCAAAGACTTACTGTTCTCTTATCTGACGAGCACTTCGTGTTGGAAAGTGTTTGGCTATCTCATTCCAATTTGTCCTATATCTATTTACTAGTTGCTCCAATAGGACCTTTTCCTTTAAAAAAAAAAAAAAAAAAAGTCAACAGCCTGGTACCAAAAAATTCACATGATAGGTTCACGATTCACATACCTGCGAAGTCCAACGTCCGCTTTGCATAGCCATGATAATTTTTGTAATTAATAAATAAGGGAGCGAGGGGTAGATGAAATGAAATATAGAATTATGTCAAAAAAAAATTAATTTAAAGTTAAATAGTAACATCCTATGGGTGTTAGAAAGAGACGAGAGAGCAACACTCTTTCAAAGCATTCTAGTTTATTTATAATGCTCCATTATCAAACACATGAAAGTGTAACATAACGTGTAGTACAGATTACGTACCATGTAATACAAATACAAAATTGTTCCTTACTACACGGCGGGGGCTCAAGAGGTTTCCATTATGGTGAAATATCAAAGTTAAGGTTTCTCTATTGACAAGGAGCAAATGTCTGATGTGCATTGCCTTGGGTACTTTGGGCGATTTCTATGCTTGAAGGCAGAGGCAGGTGTAAACAAAAACAATAATTATCGCATGCCGGAAAGGGGTGTCCGCTGCGCATTACAAAAAAGTGAGTGGATCCCTGAATCCTCCGAATTATTTGGTTTCGGCAGCACCGAAAATAGAGTAAGACAAGCAAGTCAAAGCGAATGCGATAGATAGGCGGAATATATAATTTTATGGACATTTGCGACGATTGCTTCCTTCACCGATTCTGAATTACATACTGTACATATAAAAATGTCATTCCGTTAGAATCAACACCGAAACATTTGGCATCATCTTCCCAAACATGGATTACAGTGCAGTACACAGTATAAAACCGTCCAGGTGTCATTTTAATACAGTGCGGTACACAGTATAAAACCGTCCAGGTGTCATTTTGAATTCGGATCTTATTCTGAGATCGATGTACAAATTGTATAAACTTCTCTCATCAATATGAGCACAAGATAGGTTAGCATTATTTTTTAAGCTCATTCACTCGCAGTTTCATAACTGCCGACACGACGAGAACGCGCAAAAATTGTGACAAAAAATCGAACAAAAAATTTTATTTTTTTTTGTATTGTGTACCAAGGATAATGGTGATGAATGACGTACACTTACGCATCAATAACAACAAATAATGATCATTGTCATCACTGTGCTGCACGTTATACGTGCGCCCAATTACAAGAGCGATGTCTGTGCGATGTCGTTATATTCAAGATTCGGAAATGGCGCAGGCCGGTAGGTTACCGATACAATATCCAGTCTTGAGCAATTTAGCTTGTTTGAATACGGTGTTCGTAAAGATAAAGATAAAGTCAATTAATTAATTAATTAATATTGATACAAGATCACGCGGTTCGAATAAGATACCTCGAACATGAATGCGTGATCCCAATAAATTGAGTTGAAGAATTGAACGTTTCGCTAACTTGATGGATTTCGCTATTCGCCGTGGGAATGTTTATATATTCGTTCGTCCCTTTGATGGTTTAGATTACCTTGGCAAAACAAATAAACAATCCGTTAATTTCTGCAGGGGGGGGGGGGGAGCAAATAAAATGCACTGGACTTTACCTAAATGAGATCTATATAAGATGTGCTTTAAGCCTAATCGGATATAGGAGACATCGTCTTGCCAATGAGCGTGACGAAAATCGTTAATCATTTGCGACTTTCTCTATCATAATTAATGTCGATCGACTGAGATAAGGAGAGAACTCGGTAAAAGTTACATCGGGTAACTTGCAATTTATATAACCCATCCTTGTGCATATCGGACAACAATGTTATTTCACCTGGAGGTCTCCGAAATAGTTAAAACCTCCGAAGACTACATGTATTTTGAATTTTATATAAATTAACAGATTAAATTAAACGATTTACGGATACTCAAGTTGCGCGAAATTCTTATTTATTCATAATCCATTTCCTCTGACTTTCTTTCTTCTTTTTAAACCGTATTTTATTTTATTTTTATTTTTTTCAAAACGTAACTTTGCGTCATCAAAACGCCCTCATTCGATACGTTCAAGTAAAACATAACCAAAACCAATCGAGCTGACACCTGTTCGCACAATCGCGCCTCTATATTAATTCCACCTGGGGGGATGCCTAAATGATTGGGTCTGAACAGACACCCAAATTAAAAAAAGGGAGATGGCCAAAACATGTAAGCTAAGCTGCATAAGCTGCATATCGGAGTCACGAGATTCTCTTTGATCTCGACTAAACCTTGTTTTTTTTTTCCTTCCTAACGAACGAAGGACAGTGATATGTTGGAGCGGTTAGTCGAGAAATACGGTGAAGATTGGAAGAAAATCTCAGCAGAGATAAAAAATCGTACGTCTAAACAGTGTAGGGAAAGGTCGGTGATTTACCTTTGGTCGCTCATTCTCTCCGGTTTGCCATAATCATCTGTTGCACATCTACTATGCTATATATGTTTATTTATGTTTATATTTATATTAAATCTAAATTAGATATAAAAATCACCTTAGACCATCCAGTAAGTTACTTGATTGCTTGTTTGCTAAGGTGAATTGATTTGTGTGGCGTTAAATCGTGTCATCCATTCATGAATTCTAGTAATGAAACGCAAATTCACGCCCCGCGAAGGAATTCACATAACCCAAATGCTTCAACGAATTGGTCCAAAATGGGTCGAGATAGCTGATACTATGAATGGTTGTACTGGCCTAATGATAAAAAACTACTGTAACAACAACAAAAGGAAAGAGTTAAGGATTGGCGGAGGTGATGAAAATATTACGCTATTCTCCGGAAGAAATTTTCCGCACAGAAACTAATAAACCTCGTGATCAAAAACAGCCATTAGGTCGCAAACTCCCCCGAGTATCAATGCCGCTCCAGTAATACCAAATCATTCAGACCGAAGGTACGGTAATTTTAAAAAAATTTTTGTTACATCGTATCGCACCTTGATGATTAATGAAAAATTATCGTCGTACATGCACACATTGATTTCAATAATTATCGCCAGCGTACAACCGATCAACGATAAGAATGAGAAAATGATGATCTGCTTCGTTCTTAACGAACTTTAGCGACCATTCTTTGTTTCAAGGATCAGCCCCCCCCCTCTCAAACGATGATATAACTTCCATTCTATTTGCAATATTCAGCGGTTACATTTGTCAATAGGAGATAAGTTATGAAGCCATGCATGAGAAATAATGCTAACGTATCAAGACGCATTGATATTGTATTCGAGTTAGCCCAAGTACAATACGTATAATGTCGTTACAAGGGTCAGAAGTGTTGGAGCAATTATTATATATATATATACTGTATATATAGTTTACCGACTTAAATTGGATTAAAAAGATATGCTGGTGTACGTATATACTTTACAGTATATTTATTATTATTTTTTTTTCTTTCTACAAAGAAATGCGGATCTGTTTTGTTCTCCTCTAACTCCGTGCATGTAAACATAAAGTATTGATCACGGGCAATGGTCTACAAGGAAGTGTACAAAAGAAAGTGGATATACTGTAGAAAGATACCGTGAGATCGATTATTATTGATAGACACGCTCGATATACTCCAGAAAGTTTTTTCCATTTGACATTTTTTACGCACAGAGCCGTGCGTTTTTGTGATGCGGGACAACATTTTTTTCTTTGTTTAATCAACTTACATACTAGGAAGTTAGCAATTATCGATTGATTGAGGCATTACAATTTCACTTATTTTGGGGTTGATGACGATCATGTACAAAAGGGTACAATAAATATGGTGATAGATTCTTTCGAAACTTTTTTTTTTTTCCTTTCACCAGCGCCGAAAAGATATGTGAGACAATAGTGAAGTTCTTGTTAGAAATACATTACAGAAAAAATAGAATTCCGACCAAATTTCATAGATGCAAATTTCCTGGTCAGGAAACGGATTTACGAATTATTTTATTATTTGTGAAAAAAAAAAAAAAGAACGAATCTGTCGAAATTAAAAAAGTAATAATACCGATTATCATTACTACGTGCGATTGATGCACCATGGCGATAGTGCTCGGGAAAAATAAAGAAATATGAACACGAATTTTTGCAAAATGTAAAATACAAAAATGCAGATTTTGCCAAGTGTAAAAATAAAAAAATGCGGATTTTGCCAAGTGTAAAATAAAAAAAATAAAAAAAAGTGTAGAAATATGAAATTTGAGTGAAATTGGAAAAATATCACAAAGAAAAGAGATCCACGACTTCCAGAGTTGTGCCGAAAAGATCGGTAAGAGAATTTTTCCAAATGATTAAGTAATCGGATTTAGTAGTCCGCACACATTTTGAACTAAAATGCAATTTTTCACGATCTAGGCCTTACGGAAAAATTGGCTATAAATAAATGAAAAATCTTAATAATTAAACATCGGATGAACAAATTACAATGCTCACTTACTCAAATGCTTTAGATCGGATGACCATCTAAGGAAGAAACAACTAATTAATAATTTTTCCCAAATGTGCTTTGGGATGTGAAAACATCAAGAAATGCTTACTTTCTGCGACATTCACGAGCTGAACGTTTCATCACCTCTCCGACCTTGCGGAAATCCCCACGATGCTCATTCAACAACGCAATCAAGAGCAGTACATCCTGAAGGAATAATAATAATTCATGGTGAACTCGGTGTATATCATGGTTACTTCACCAGAGTTCAGCGATGAATGTCATGTCGTACGCACCTGCTTGCACCATCCGTCCTTTACAAGTATTGGAAAGTCGTAATCTATGTTCTGTTCGCTCATCTCGAGGTAAGATCAATGAAAAATGAGTGTGTCATAAAAAGATCATAAAAAAAAGGGTAGAAAGTACGGGAAAGACGTTGGGTATACTGTATATAAACAAAATGTATATAATGCATATATACTATATATATATATTGTACATGCATAATTACGCAATATATTAAAATTGTTTCCCGGGGGCGTTATCACATAATAAAAAAGAAAAGAGGCATGAGGTGAAAAAAATTTTTTTTTTTTTTTTCGAATTTTCGATGCATTTGTTGTGTTTCATGCACACATTTCTTTCGAACTTCTTATGTTTATTCACAAGTGTCATCTGTTCCTGTTGTCATTAATTAGAGATCCATCAACAGATTTAATTCACCTATCCATTCACTTTCTATGAATTAAAGTTTACAAAGAAAAAAATTGTCTCTTGAAAATCTTGTTAATCCAAATCGAGTAAGTATGAATTATTCAGCTGCGAGTGTGACACTGACTACAATTGCAGACAGATAACTGTGGTTTTTACAGTCACGTTTTTAAGGGCAACAGAATACTTATAAAACCATATACAATAGGAAAAACAATTTAAAGAAACCCATAATCTAAAGCAAAAAAGTTGTTCAATTATTCAACTCTTTTCTATAAATACAGTATATTATTAGATTACAAAATATTTGACAAGTGTTAAGTTAACAAAATCTTGAAATATTGTATATTGAAATACTGTATAAAAAATATTATTTTGTTTGTTTTTTAATAATAAATCATTATTTTAATTATTATCTATGATTAAAAATTTGTTGTAAAAAGAAAACATTAAAATCAATGTAAATATTTATAAATATATATTTTTTAAATTTACAATCAGGCTAATATTATTTATTTATTAAATCATAAAACCATTACAAGTATAAAAATACATGCAAAATATAAATTTTCTCAATTCAGCTTACTTGTTAATAACTAAAATCTCTAAATATAATTTATGGAATAATATATTATTTTTCTAATAGATAAGATTAAGATTCAAAACTTTCAATAGAATCAAAACTTGTATATTACCTCTATAGTTATAATTATAAAAATTCAAATTGTATTAATCTTCTTTTATAAAAATTATATAAGAAAAAGTAATAAAAAAAAATATTATAAAAGTATATAAAAAGAAAAAAAATATTAAAAAAAAAAGAAAAAAACTATTATCTACTCTAATTATTATTGAAAAAATTATTTTAACAAATTAAAATTCAAGCCTTTTATAATTATTAATATACTCACTTTTTACTATCTGTAATTAATTAAACTGTTTAATTTCTATTGAAGCAATAATATTTAAAATATTTAAAAGTACTTTTAGAAAAATATTTCTTAAAATTTTATATTTAAAAACTTATAATTAAAAGAATATTAATTTTTTATTGTTGATTTTTTTCTCAAGCCATATTTTTTAAATTATTGTTTATTTCAGTGAATAATGCTCCCTGGTCTCCAAATATATAGTATATTCCTAGTTCAATATCTACAGAAAACAAATCATATAAAATTATCTTTTATTTATAAATTTATTGATTTTTTTATAAATATCATATTTCAAATATCTAAATTCAAATCAAATTTAATTAGGCTATATAAAAATGGAACCTCTAATCTTTCTAACAATCATAAACTGAAAACAGGTTAAAGTAGAAAAAGTTGTATAAGAAAAAGCTTCTGGTCTAACTCCAATATAAGTCTATAACTAAATATGGATTCCTAAATTAAAGGCAAAGATATAATTTAAATATCCTTTACTATTAAAAAAATTTTTTTTTAAAATATAAGATCAAAAAAAAACTATTTATAAAAATTTTTTGCAATTTAAATCACTTGATCAAATATTTTTAAATTATGTTCCTATTAAAATAATGAATAAATAATTATGTCTCTTCAAAAGAGGTATAATTAATCTGTAAAATTTTATATACTAAATAATTTAGAGATTCATTTTTATTTACAATCCTACTGGCACAGTAGATTCTGTAACACAAAAGAATACTCTAACCTACTGTAAGGCTATTTCAATTTAATACTTGCTTACACTAGTTAAAATAGTATTATTCAGTATATTACCACTTGTCAAATATTTGGATATACAACTATTTAGCATAATACTACTCGATAACAATTCAGCATATGTCAAATTATAAAATAATATTTTTATTTTTTGTAAATTAAATTAATTATAATAATTGTAAAAAAAATAAAATAAAATTTAAATTATTTTTAAAAAAATTAAATTTAGATACAAATTATTTTATGCTTAATTATAGTTGAATTTTAGTAATTTTAAATATTATACTTGTGATTTAGTGAAATTATAGCCAAATATTTACAAGAATTATACTGTGATCAAAATCCATTTGATTCATATCTGAGTAGTAGTTTTTAGAAGGAATTAGAGATTATATAGAACAGTCCGTCATCCTAGAAATAATTTCTCACAAATATTCCAAGGTACAGCAAAGATTTCCCAATAAATCTTTGTAACCAAAATATGTTTAATAAAATAACAGTGTTTTATTAAGACATGAAACCAAAAAGTCAGACAATTACAAGAATGAGTTATCCAGAAAACTGACTAAAATTACATGAATAGCAGCTACTTATATAG